AAACTCTGCTAATCATTAGGACAAACTCCGCCCACCCAAGAATCTCCGCCTACTTTACAAACTCTGCTAATCATTAGGACAAACTCCGCCCACACAGACAAGAATCTCCCCTTGTGTACTGCAGTGATTCTTATATTTAAATGCTGTTTAATTTAATTTTGTTAGTACTTTAAGAAATGTTTTCTGTGTTCCTGTTGTGATTTCTGAAAAATTGTTTTTTATGTTTTATATTTTAATCACTGGGTTTCATTTGGGGTCGTCTTGTTTTGCACCTCAGACTCTACCTCGCAGCACAACCTTAACCAAAGTTTTGCTTCTTATTTAACTCGTAAAGCATCCACTAATTTGTTCTGGAAAATGTCTTCAGCATCACGTCGAGTCTCCTTCGTTCTGTTTGTGTGAAGCAGCAAAAATGACGCTGCTCTTTGTTCTGGATGATGAACGGTGTAAACACAGATTTAGCGGAGAAAAAAATAGTTTAAATGTTTTTTTTTTAAGTTTGTCATAAGTTTTATTATGATTTTAATAAAATCTGCCTGAAAGATATGTTGGAACACAACTACACAGGATTTTATTGTGTTTTACAAGCAAACTCTTGTAGCAGAACACTAAGAAGCCTTTTTGTGTTTGAATAATCCAGATTTTTTGGTTTAGTTCAGCTGAAAAATGCCTTAAAGGAGTTAGAAACCCTTCACGGTGTGACGTGTTTGAGCTGTGTGTCCGATCTCATTTAATCTGTTTACTGATAATTCTTTAACGCTCTCCTTTGCACTTTTTATTGTCTCACTGAAGACAAAGTCAAATCCTCGCTTAGAAAATAACCATCTGTTTACATTCTGGTTTAATACTGAAACACTTACTGTAGCTGTGTGACACTTGTTTATTTTAGGGTTGAATGTATGACTGTGTTCACCACATCAGCACTGTGTAAATGTGTAATATAAAGTAGAGTTATTGTGCAAGTTGTTTTGTTTTTTTTATTCTAATAAATACCACGTCTCCCTGTTTAAGAAGCCAAGTAGAAAAGTGCCAGAAACCTTAAAAAACTGTTGGATTGTGTTGTTGTTCTGAATGTGTTTGTATTTAATTAAATCTTTACTCTCAAAGTGGCTGTTATCAACACTGTGAAACATCAGATTTTTACAAATACTTAAAAGTTCATTTTTTAAAGTTCCTGATGAATAAAAAAGCACTAAAGTTTAAACCCTCTGGCTTTATTTGTCTGCATATTAGTGTTAGAAGCAGCAGGATTATATTCTTTTTTATTCATTTACCATTTATTTTAATGTTTGTTTCTTTACTACTGCGCTCTGACCAACTGCAGTTGTTTGGAAATGAATAAACGTGAATGTGACAGTTTTACAGTCAGTCAGCAGATGGTAAATAATAACCTCGTCCTGATGAATGTGTGTCAGTTTAGGAAAACGCTGCAGGATGAGAGTTCAGCTCCTCCATCTGGATCGTCTTGTAGGAAAAAACATGCATTGTTCAAAATGGTATGTCTGAATAAACAGGAATCCAACTGGATTTCTTCTTTAAAACTTTATTTTCAGTTTTCTGGCTCCAATCAGGTTCACAGTACAGCACCCAGCAGACCTCAGCGTAAGACCTTGGGCTGAAAACAAAACAAAAAACACAGGAGCCCTGCTCTGAGCAGAGACTCGGCAACACACTGACAACTTCTATAACAACGAATTGAGCTTATAATATTCATTTCTTCCTGGTTACACCTCTGGAGGTGTTACCTTTTACTTCGTATGTCAGAACGTAACTCGTTTTGTTTAGACTAAAGAAAGATCCCATGATAAGACACACCAACTCTTTGTTTGTTTTAACCTTACAGGCTGAAATGATCAAAGTATAAAATACAATTCTGCATCTATTCAATTAATCAGTTCCAAAATTACCTTCAGTCTGATTTTAGTTGCTCCTCATGATGCTCCTGCTTTTTATTCTGTGTAGCAAGAGTCCACCAGGTGGTGGTTTTATCCCAACACGATGATTCTGTCCAGTTAAAATGAGTAGATTTTTGTACATTTCCGTTCATGACAAAGAGAAACTCTGATCATGTTTAATTAGCTGTAAAAAGCTACAAAAGTCAAATATAAAGTACAGTAAAAGAAATGGTGCCGTTTTTATTTTTATTTTGTGTCTTTATAAAACATGCAGACTTTGTGCTRTTTTAGTTATTTTATGCTGTTCATTAAAACATTCAGCTCATTCAGGAGATGTGTGGTGGAATTTTTGTTTTTTAGAACTTTTTATCAGTTTTAAGGAACAAATTTTTTCTTCAGTTCTTTTAAAAAAAGGAGAGTTCTTTTTGCACTGCTTCAGCAAACTTATAAATTTTTGTCTCCTCGTGCAACTTTCAGCTGAGAGCTGTTTTACTTTGCCAGCTTAACTTCAGTTTTCAGCAAGAATTGTTACTTTTTACTTTTATTTTCTAGTCTTTGATACTCATGGCTGGGCATTCTTTCTTTTGCATTTRAGACTTTAGCTCTTTTTAGGTAGGCTACTTTTAGCATTTAGCTAGTGATTTGCTACTTTTAGTTAGCCTTTTGCTTAGACTTTTAACTTTTACATTCAAGTTTAAGAGTTTTTACTAAATCCTTTTAATACTTTTAGCTCCCAGATACAGCAGGTAAAATAAGTATTGAAC